TGCCAATTTGGGCAATAACTGATAAATCTCTAAATTTGAATATTGAATTTAAGATTTATCGAGATTCTCACAATCTTTAAAAAAAAATAAATTTAATTTGTGAAGATTATAATTAAACTATTTAAGAGGAGGTTTTTAATTTTGATACACACCAGTAGAAACAAATTTTATATTTAACTATGAATAATTTTCTAGATGGCCTAATTTTTATAATTTATATTTTATAATTAAGATGCATGACAGCATATACTTTTTCAAATGTATTGCAAACAACAATAAAAAGATTAATGTTTATAATGAAATTTATACTTTAAACTATAAATTTAAACTATAAATTTTTAATTTAAAATTTACAATGAATATAATGGATGCCAGAATTAAAAGAGTGAAATTCTAACCCACACAGCACACTTTATCTGAGGGACGTCCTACAGATAAAGTGGGATATCTCAATAACCGGTGGATATCCAGTGGATATTTAATATCCGGTGGATATCCAGCGGATGCACAAATGCCCCTCAAAATATCCTGTGCTGTGTGGGAAACGTAATTAAGTTTCATTAGTTTTATTTTAATTTAACACGAAACGTTAAACATGAAAGAATTTATTATACATATGTTAAAATTACATATCTTAAAATTTATTAGTAAAAAGCGTTATATACAGAAAACCGCATTAGTAACTGTGTTGTAATCGTACCATGTGTCAATAATAATCGTTCTGTCTTTCTCTGAATATCAATGCAATTTCGGACAAGCTATACGTTGTGAAACATGTGTCTCGTAATCATTGAGGCGAATAATAATTTGAAAATATGTTACCCTTTCTCTCTCCACCATCTCTCTCCCTCTCTTTCTTTTTCTCGGTCTCGCTGTCACCATTATTACAACAAAGCGCCCTAGCGGCTTCAGGACATTAGTGTCGCACGGGCATGTAACCGCAAAAGTAGCGAACAGACCCAGCTACCATTATAAATGCATTAACTCTCCCCTTAGTTTTCGCCCTGTTCTTCTTACCGACGTGCCATTTTTTCGCCTCTGGCTGTTACAGCTGGACGTTCCTGATATTCGTCTTCGGCGAGTCGCGTTTATCGCTTTTCGACTCGCTAATCGTCAAGCTTACCTCGTTGCGTGCTTGAAAAATGTCAGTAAATAATTAAATTTCGGATTTATAATTCCTAAAACGTTCGCCACTGAAGACAAAGTTGAAGAATAAAAATGATATTATTAATATTACAGTTACGATTTTCGTCATCATTAAATAGTAAATATTAAAATACGATCGAATAAAAAAAAAGAGAAAAATAATAATTTCTCAAGCACTGCGACATTAATTTTCGAGTCGATTGACGCTCGTAACTCGGACGCATTGAACGTTTCCGGTCGCACGAGGGGTGTCGTATAAGTTACCCTAAGATTTCTAAGCAACGCGTTACTTTGACACCCAACAATGACGACGAGGAAGGCGTCAATCGAAGCGATGCGATCGATTTTCAGGAGTTTGTCGTCGTAAGAAAGGACGAGAACTTTTTCCAACGTAGCCACGATCTGAGGAACTGCACGATCATTAGGATGGAAGCGTGATGGAAGCGATCGTTACACTTTCTTCGCTAATCTCCAACCCTTTTCTCATCCTCTTTTCTCGTTTCAGTCGAGCGAGATCAAGCAGCCCCCTCGAGCACCTCAGAAGCGATAAATCAATGACTCTTCTCCTTCTTTCTTCCCGTCTCTCCCCCTTCGAGTCCCCCGGTTACTTCCGGCCCCCTAGCTCCTAGCGGACGACTATAAAAAGCCAACGGGCAATTAAGGGTGTTTTAGAGTGGCTGCACTCGAAAATCGCTGGCCAACCCCAGCCGAAAGTGGGGGAATTAAAAAACATTACTCATCATATAATCGCACGAGCGGTTCTCGGCGCTGTCTGTCACCGTCACTCTTTCTCCCTTTCTCTCTCTCTCTCTCTTTCTCTCTTTCTCTCTGATTCTCGCGTTCGGACACGCTCGTCCTTCTTGCGCCTCCGACGTGCCGGCAGAAAAATGAGAAATGATCGTAGCTCGATTCAGAGGTGCCTGTTTAAAATTCATGAACGATTTTACTGCAACCTCCCCTATCGCAACCCGTCACAAAAGGGCGAGCAGAGCCATATCGAGAGAGGATGAGAGGGGGAAGGGAGAGAGAGATAGCGAGATTGTGGCCCACATTCGCGACTATACATCAGCACAGAATCGCGAGAGAACAAGAGAGGGAGAAAGGGGAGGGTTCGCACCCCACGAAATATATTAATTGTCGAATTTTCCGTGCGAGCTGCATATCCGTTAAAGCCGCTTTGTCCCTTGCCAGGCGCGGATCTCTTGATTATTAATTACTCCGACCACCAAGTGCACCCCACTCCACCCTCCTCTCCTCGCGGCTATTACCCTGTAACATTCGCAGTTTCAAAGGTACGATCTTTTTTTTTATTGCGGCCGCAATTTTAACTAAAAAAAGAACTGTAACAAATGTACGCGTCGGTGGTGCTCGTTAATTATCACCTGAATTTCGTGCGAATCGTCGAATTTTTATCGAGACAAAGTTGGTCTGATTTATTATCATGAATAAAAACAACCCCCAGAAATCTCGAGGGTGCAATGTAGCTCGTCGACGAAATTTTCGACATTTGACTAGATAGTGAGGTCAATAAAACTATGCGGATAATTACCGATTACTTCTAAAAATGTTAATTATTTTAATCAAATTTTCCGCGAAATTGTGCATTTCGCGGAAAATTTGTTGTCTCTCCAACTATTTGTGATGGAAATTAAGTTTATATCGACGGCTTTCCATTCCGATTCAAATTGAAGTATTTAGATAATCATGCAGCGGATACCATTCCCTAATATTCGAAGAATCTTGCATTGATTAACAGTCTCGCAATAACACACTTGTATATCATAATTATAATAGTTGAATTACAAGAGAGAGCCATGGAGTACGACAAGGGCAGCATGTACATATACATATATAGGTATATTTTTTTTTCGAAGGGCGACGGTAGCGGGGGTGGCAAAAACTACTTGCATTTATCGAGCAAGAATGTCGGATGTAATTCACGCCTCGCTGCCACGGAAGGGTTGTAATTTTCTTGATATTATTCATGAACGTTATGGCAGGTTGGTTCATGTAATATAATAGCCCTTCACAGTTGTTTTCTCTTTACGTACATTTTTCTCTGTCTTATCCGCCTCATTTCATATTAAGCCGCTCGACGCGGCACTTTAATATATTTCTCTTATGAAGGGCGAGTTCCCCTAATCGCGTGAGCACGTGTTCTCATATCGTGTTTATCAAACGAAAAAAAGTTCATAACGTTTTCGATTATTATACGAAGGTTACAAGTTCGATGAAATGTTGATACCTCCCAGATCTCACATTTTCCTTCTTCACTTTCGTCTTATTCATAAATCTTAAGCGTCAACAAAAATTGACGCTTATATATTCTCAGAAGTTGACTTTATAAATTAACGAAATATTCCTTATCAATAACTTCGTAATTGCTCGAATAATTAAACATTTCTCTTTCTATATGTTTACACGATGACACCATGTATCATTTTCTTTCTATCCTGTTTTCTGACATACATATTACACTCCTTTTTTATTATCCAAACCGCAACTGTACGCGTTTCATGCACGCTATTCGAAGATGCCGTTGGGCGTAATCTTTTTCACTGTACAACCGATCGCGCGAATGTAATTCGCGTTTTGATTCTGTGGAAAGTATCGTCATTTTCGCAGTATGATTTGCAGTGTTACCGAGCAATAATGTTCGGTTAATACGGCCTTGGGCAGGGAATTTTGCCTCGTGTCTCCCTTCGTGTTTCATAGCGTTCATTTCGTTCCCGTTACACGGTATCAACCTCCTCCCCGAGACCACGGCCTGTTGATATATCTCTGTCTCGCGCGCGTCTAAGGGCGCTTTTACGTTCGCAGGTGCGGCTCAGGTATATGTATCTGTAACGTGTATATATATGTGTACACACGTATTCGTGCGTATATATGTGTGCGTGCCATGATACGCGATGATTAGGCACTGAAACTCCACGGGCTATTTGTTAGTATAATAAGCTCCCGGTAGTGTGGCCAACGTAACCACTTGGCGGCACGCCACCCCGTTTTAGCGTAATTGTCCCAGATCGAGATTTACATACGTGAGGAGGGTGAAGAGGGAGGGCACTGCGAGGGAGGGAAGGGGCCGGTCCCAGGGAGAAATTGCAGAAAGCCCGTGATTGCTTCGGGTGGCGGTGGCCTCGAAAGCCACCAGTCGATCCTTATGCCAGTCGAAACTTCGCCGCGCTGCGAACGAAGGAACGAACGAACAGCTGAAATACTTGGAATGGATCTTATCGTTCGCCGTTAGAATCTGGAAAACTACCGTGGAACTACGCTATGCTCGCACGTGCTTCCGGCTATCAAGCTCGTATCGCGATATCGCGGCTCGCGCGGGCCCGTTTGACATTGGCAGGCCGAACTTAGATCCATTTTGCCGATATTACGTTATAAGAATAACGATCGCTCCGATGTAAATATCTTGAATAGTCGAGCCACTTTTTTTTATCGCTGGTCATTACCGACGTATAGCCTTCATCAAAATACTAAACAAGTCAGCGGATTTTATGATACTTTTTTAGTGCCAACGCGCGTCTTACATATACGGGCACATACCTATATACCAGAATAATTTAAAAAAATATCAATGTTCGTAAATTATTCTATATATATATTCATTTATTATCGTATAATTTTCGTATCATATGATTGGTCTATTTTTATAATATAATATCAATTTTGTCGAATTTGTATTTAACACAGAAATTATGCGTCACATTAATATGCGTTAATGATACTCTATTTTAAAGAAATCTTTATAATTCGGTTTTGAAATGAGAACTTTGGTGCAAATAAATCGCAAGGACTTCCGCGCGGAATCATTGTTACTCACGTGCTCGCTTTCTTTGTACTTGCAGAACGAAATGGAAGCGACAAACGATCGTGGGTTTCGAGATCATGGCCGAAAACAATTTCGCCGTTGCCGCCTTCCAACATCTGTACAGCGGCAGCACCGCGACGATCCCCGCGCATCCTGCCGCAGGACGTTACTGGCAGTATCCCAGCGCGCACGCGTTACCCGCGAACGGATTCTTCTATCAGCCATCATCGGCGGCGGCGGCGACTCTACAGAAACCGCTTCCCTATCGCCTGTATCCGCCCATGATCCTGGCGGGGCCGAGCAATCCCCTCGGCTCCTTGACTGCGAGCTCCAGCCTGTCGACCCTCAGCAACTACTATAGGGACAGCCCGGAGATGGCCGACGGTCGGGAGTCCTCGAGGAAAAGGGACAGGAGCAAGAGCCCAGAGTCGAGGGACAGGTCGCCAACCAGAAAACCGGCGAGACTGTATCCGCTGCAGATGATGCAGGCGGGTCCTAGTAATCCTCTCGGCACCTTGACGACCTCCAATCTTTCCAACATGAACAACTACTACAGAGGCAGCCCGGAATTGATGGAGGGAAGGGAGAATATGGAAAGGTCGAGGAAGCAAGAGAGGAGCAGCAAGAGCCCGGACTCCAGGGACAGGTCGCCCCTGAGGAAGGACGTTAGGTCTTATCCCTCGATGATCCAGGCGGGTCCCAGCAACCCTCTCGGACCCCTCGCGACCGGCTCGAACTTACCGAACCTGAACAATTATTACAGAGACAGTCCGGAAATAGTGGACGGACGGGAAAGTATGAATCGAACGCGACAGCGTGACAGAAGTCAGAGCCAGGATAGATCACCCGTGCAGAGGGAGGACAGTCCTCGAAGTGTGAGGGCTGACAGTGACGAAGAAAGCATACATGACATCTAGGACATGGAGATTCCTGGTACCGACGGTGGCACATCGGCAGTTTTGTACGAGAGGGAAGACAAGGGAGTATATTATCCTGCAGGATAATTAGGAAACGAAATGCCATGTGAAATGGAGTGATTTCCTTACGATGATCACTTCGGCATAAATGAATGAACGGCGAACGAAGAATTGACATCAGAAATTAGTGAGACGGTCAAAGGGAACGTGATCCTTCTGAAAATGCTCTGGTATGAATCGGGCAGCTAAACGTACGGGCAAGCTTGAAAGTACTGATTGATGCGATAACTCATTACGAGAAGCTGACAGGGATAATTAAAATCGAATTCACTTAGCTAGCATTAATCAGTCAATTCCAAACGAGATAACGAAGTCGCTCAAATTTCAGCAGCTATTGCATTAACAGTTCATAAATAAACAAATCGATTCCCGTATGGAGAATTTGTTGGGAGATCGATCGATAATATTTATATAATCCTGGAAGGAACAAACTATATATATCCTTGAACAACTTACATCGATCCACGCAGCTACCACGAAATACAAACGAAGAAACGAATGCAGCCGGTAACGAGACTGTTTAAAAAGCTATATATCGAGGTGCACGTAAGCATCGAGGAGAGACTACATAGAGATTATTTCGCGTTTTTGCAGTCATTTTAAAACCTGTAGAAATCAGAGTGAAGAGATCCGGGATTCGCGAGGTCTAAAGCGAAATCGGCGAAATGAGATGCGAACGAAACGGCACGGCGCGGGCGCGCGGCCGATTTCGTGAGGTAGAACAGGAAGTGACATAGCACGGGACGTCCGGGATTTTGTAGATAATGAGAGCGAACAGGAAATATCGTGCGGTTAACCGAACTTCGTGATTTGAGCGTTCAGTGAATGGCGGGTTACGGTGAAACAATATATTCAACGTTGATACGATCGGCGAGTAGAGAGCGGACGAAAGTAAAAATCCTATATGCCTCACCGAAACATTATCCCCCGGACAAATACGGAGGACTCATTATTACTCATTCATTGTCCATTTATTATTTCATTTTCCACTCTTTCCCGCATGGATCCGTGCGATTGGTCCGTCGTTTGAAAGGTATTTGTGTTTTCCAATATTTTTATAATTTACAAAACAATCATTTACTTTCACGAGTTTTATTTTGATCATAATTATCGGTAATTACACTGCGATAATTATTTCATTCGGACATATTGATTAATTTTATTGCGAAGTCTCTTTAATATTTACGATTAAATTATATTTTCACCGCGATATAACTACGTGCACGTTTTTTAAACATCGATCGATGGTTTCCTTGTAAAATATGACGTAAGAGGCGAATATTATCACGCCATCAATAAATAACTATTTCGCTGTGTGCCAAAAATTTCTATTCAATTCTTTTAATCTTACAATTTTAAATAAAATTCTATAAATTTTCGCCTCTGACGCCGAGACTGAAAGGACTTATTCATCTGCAAAGAAACCAATCAATATTCACGACCACAGTAAAATTTGACTTCTAAAATTTATCACACGCATTCATGTCATCACAGTACAGACCAACGCGACCCGTTCATAGCAACGATACAAAAAACCATACCGATTAGAGAACCCGGCTCGATTGGACGGTTTCGTGTGTCGAGAACGGTTACAAGTTACAATCGCGCCAGGAAATGGGCCAATCGCGGACGAACGCGAATGTACAATTAATATGACATTAGAGGGAACTTGGCCGCGGGGGAAGAAATCTAAAATGACACGAAATTACACGCGGTCGCCACGAAACGACAAAAAAGGACCGTGCAGGAGGGGGCGCGGCATCGAACGCGAAGAAAAGGGGGTCTCAACTATTCAAATAACTGGTGTTGTCGTGTCTGCGAAGCGAAACCGGCATTTTGCCCACCGCTATTCCTCGGATAGGACGAATTGGTCAGCTTAATTAATATCGACGAGATCTAAGAGACGGTGACGGTCCCGAAAATTGCACCGACACCGGCGACCGGTAATTTGCGAACGACAACGGGGGCGGACATATTTTCTTCTTTCCCAGGAAAAAAATCGACAATTTGAGCGCTAATTGTAACGAGAATCGGTCGTTGTAAGTTAAACTTAAGATAAAATTTTCACATTTGGACTTTGCGTCGCAATATCTCCACTCGTAGGGCACGTAGCGGAAAATATTATAAGAAATACCCCCCCCCCAAGTCGACCCCAAGCTATCGATCAAGCCTACTTAGATCTTGATCCGTTCACTCGTTATCGAGATCTCAACATCTCGAGTACTCGCAAATCGTCGCGTCGCGTAAAAGAGTCACGGTCGGTCTCGCTCCGCGTGTACTTGGCGCGAGACACTACCGTGTCTCTTGATACGAATTACGTGTGGTAGAAATCCTCGTCATACCATTGGTATAAGTCCTTGTTGTCGTTAAACGACACGGTGATACGCGATTCACACGATAAACGACGATGACGATGCGATGTTTGCGTCAAATGATTACACGTTACTTCGCGAAACAATTGCGCGAAACGTTTCCATTCTCCTTAGGCCGGAATTATACCGAATCTTACGCTGAAAATTGCTGGAGTTACGATGAGACTGGACATGAACGGATTACACATTAACAAATGGAAAACTCGGTATATCTGAGAAGTAAACTACCTAATTAAATGACAATTCTCACGTCGCGTCGGTACGATCGAGAGATTAAATCGGCCGGTGTTTCTAAGAGATCAAAATGGAAACGCCAAGTATTCCTTACGGGAAACTTTTAGTTTTATACCGATCGAACGTTTTTTTTTTCTACGAGATTCTCGCAGCAGCGAGTCGGTTCGTTCGACACGAGCGACTTTTCAACTTCATGTAAAGATGAGCTGCGCCATGTAAATATAAAATACCGGATGTACCATCCGCGCGTAGATGAAGTTACGAAAGCATGTAAATATGTGAAGAGATGGGGCGATCGGACACGGGCTGTTACGGAGTGAAAATACGCGAGGACCGACGGAGTCCATAGGACTTGAGCCAAGATACGAGATACGAGATATTTCAAAGTATTTTTCAGATTTCAGTATACGTAGCGGAACGCGAGGCGCATTCTCGAGAGATCGAGCGTCGTGCGATTTTTCTCTTTCGCCGGCGAGAGCGCGACGTGTTTCGATATTTCGACGACACGACACGCGGCGCGTTCGATAAGGACATACCAGTATTATGAATGTATAAAATTAGGCTGTACAACGTGCGAGAGGGTCTCCCGTGCGGAAACGCAGTTGATGCGTCGCCGGGAATACTCCGGCGGACGTCGACCGGCACGGCGCGTTTAGTAGCTAAGTAACGCAGCAAGAAGTACTTAGAATATATGAAAACCATGCTTTGTAAAATAATGTCTGTATAGCGAGAATTATTATATTATATGGAAAATATATTATACTGAATTTAACGTGTTTTGCGTTTTTCTTTCAGAGCCGTCGCGCCGAATCGCGTTCCCTCGTGCCGTGATTTCAAATCGAGTGACTGTAAACAAATTCCATCTTTTTTTGTATTTATTTTTGTCAACGTTAACAATGTTTTGGACTAGATCAATTAGAAGTTTTATATTTCTTGGAAATTCAACATCGCGTCTCAAAATTTCTTTCCTTTAATATCAAATTTTTATTTTCTCTAATTAAATTATAATCATATGATAGCGTATATACAAAACGTTTATCGCGTAATTGGAGTGTTTATGAAAAAATAATAAAAGGCAATTGGATTGGTTCACGCGAGAAGAAATATATGGTGCTTCGTTCCGACGTTCCGACGAAGGGATGTTCCGAGCCGAGATTGCTGTCACGAAAGCGCCGAGCCTTTTCGTTTAACGTTCGATTTGCAACTTCGTCCATAATGTAAGTCGACTAGATTGGCGTTTAGACAAACGACCCAAGGCTCTCGAGACATTTTCACGCGATGATGCATATTGTAACGTTCGCGATTAAATGAATGCGCACTCATTTTGCGACTGTTAGAGTAAAATTGCGTCAAATTATTTTGCGCAACTCGCATTTTATTCGAGAAGCTTAGATTCAAACAAGTGAAAGTTACAAATTCTTGAAAACCGAGCTGAACGCATAATCGTCGTTCCAGAATAATTTCAATCTGCTCTTGAGCGGTAAGTAATTTTGGTAATCTATATATCTCTTTCTTCTGGACTCCTCCAAGCATGATAATTAAATAATTTCAAGTCGTTTGTTTGAATAAAACATCAAACACTATTATCCTATTGCAAAGTTTATCTTTTGCATTCTTTCACATCTGGACTCATCAATTAACATGATTAATTAGTTCGCAATCAGTAACTTTTCACACACTTTTTCCGATCTTTTGAGTGATAACGGAACTCAAAACAGTCATTACTCGAAATATTTCTTAATAACGGCTAATTTTATTAATGACATGATGATGATTTTGCGCTACGAAGTAGAAACTTTGAAGCAATTAAAGCTTTACTTTCTACGGCATTACGTATAGCTTTGCTAGGCCTCGATGAGTTTCGTGTATCGTTTTGCTACATCGTTATCCTCGCTTTACAATTTCCGCTGAACATAAATATACGGCAAAGTTTATAATCAGAAAGGATAAACGAAATTCAGGATGTATACGCACTTAACTTCTAAATTTAATTATCAAGCTATTGTGAGTGCAATATTAAAGTTAATTACCCAGAGTAATGTGAGATGTATAAACAATGGAT